GCCTGTAGTCCTAGCTACTTGGGAGGCTGAGGCAGGAGACTCGCTTGAGCCCAGGAGTTGGAGGTTGCTGTGAGTAGTGAAGCCATAGCACTCTACCTAGGGGGATAGCTTGAGGCTCTGTCTCAAAAAAAAAAACAAAAAACAAAAACATGATCACAGCATGTCTCTTCTGCCCAACTGCATTGCTTAGAAGCAAGTGACAGTTCCTGCCCAATCAAAGCAAAGTCTGGCACAGAGCATGGGCACCAGAGGGAGAACCCCCTGCCCCCACCCCACGCCATGCTCTGCCCTCTGTTCCACTTCTTCCCCAGCTGGGGAGACAGGAGCACTAACAGGAGGAGGAGGAAGGTGATGAAGGCAGCACATACGGTGTGCAGAGCAGTGACACTGACGGGGGCAGAGCAGGTACCTGGCATGTTCTGGAAGTGCATGGGCAGAAAAGGTACAGCAAAGATGCCACTCAGGAACCAAGCACAACCAGGCTGCCTGGCACCAGGCACAGAGGGTCCCTCTGGCCCTGGCCGCCCTATGCCCAGCATCTCTTATCTCCAAGGCTCCTTCTCTGTCCTAACATCAGGTGTCCCTGGCCCCGGCCCAGCCACCTGCACCTCTCTCCAGATCCTCCCTGGGGGTCTGGCCCTACCTCTGTCTATCCCCTCTCCACTCTGCTGAGGCTTCCTCACAAGCTGCCCCATCTCAAATTAGGTCCTATAAGATGACTGGACACAGCCTCTGGGACACTGCTAAGACCCTCGGCTGGGCACCTGCAGCCTGTCATCCTTCCCTGCTCTTAGTTGGGCAGGGCACCCACAGAGCTGGTGAGCTGGGACCTCATGAAGAGCAGCATGGACTCCAGATCCAAACACAATGTCCACTCTGGGTCACCTGGACGAGGGACCCAGCACCCTGTCCAGGCTCCCTCTGGCCTGGTCTGTCCCTCTGCTGGCACTCAGCCTGTCTCCAGTTTTCCTTACAGGGGACCACATATGAGGGCGCAGCTTATGCCTGATAAGGAGATGACTCTCCCTGAACCCATGCCCAATCCTGCACAGGGAACCAGGACACACAGGGCTCCCAGGTGGGGGCAAAGCTCTGAGGCGAGGCCCTGGGGAGATGGGGTTGGGAAGGGGTGCTGGGTGAGGGCTTGGGAGATGGAACCTGGAGGATGAGAAGGGTCTACCAGGGTGGTGCCTGTGGCTCAAAGAGTAGGGCACCAGCCCCATATGCTGGAGGTGGTGGGTTCAAACCCAGCCCCAGCCAAAAAAACTGCAAAAAAACAAACAAAAAAAGAAGGGTCTATCTGGGACCTGCCCCAGGACAGCACAGATGGCATCTTTCTCCAGGGTAGGATCCCAGGTCCTCTTCCAGCTTAGTCACTTTGCCCAGAGTGACTACACTTTGTAGCTTTTTGGTCACTTGCTTCTAGGATGGGGATGGGACTGTTGTCAGAGCCCAGAAATCCAGATCAAAGAATTAAGGTTGATGTCCAAGTTCTCCCCTCACCCTTTCATCTGACATGTTGAAGTGGGTGTCTGGGGCCATCTAGGATACCCTGTCTAAGGTCCCCTCTTCTCATGTCACTGTGTGTATGTGTCTGGCCAGGACAGCATCAGGCACTTTCTGCCCCAAACAACTGCCTAAAAAGCCCATTCTTAATCACATGTGTGCCCCCTAAGGTCCCACAGGACATCCTGAGGTAGTAGATTCCTATTGTCATGAAGCAAAGAAGCCATATGTCACAGCCAGAAACCAGTGTGGAAGGCAGGACAGACACAGGTGAGCCTTGGCCTTGAGCCCTGCTGCCCTGGCCTGGTGTCTGTCTGTGCCCCTGACCTCCTGCTCTGGGTTGAGCTCCCCTCCCTGCTGAGGCTGCACTAGGGCTGCTTCTCTCCCCTTCCCCTATGCTGGGCCAGCCCTGGACCTGGCCCCTCACTGGGCTCCTCCCCTCTCCATTGGTCCCTACCTGGGTCTCAACCATGACCCCTGGATAAGGGCCCAGTGTTGCCCCATGTCCTGATGGGAGTCCTCTATTAGGCTCTAGTGATGCCTTCACGGTATCCCACCTCCCCCACCAGGCTGCCAGTGGACCAGGACAGGGCCAGTGGTGGCTGTGCCTTGCTGGTCCAAGAGATTCATTCTCCAGTGGACAGAAGGACATGTGGCTGGTGGGGGCACTTACAGGGGCCACAGCAGTTCCTGGGGGGCTCTCCCAGAACTTCCAGGTGGTAGCACTCCTGAAAGTTGCCATACCCAGGGGATGGAATGAAACTGCTACCCACTCACGTGTGGGTTACCCCGTGCTGGCACGTGGGAGCCGGAAGCCCAGACGATGGCTGCCCCGTCCACCCTCAGGCAGGGCAGGGTCCTGGCCTCCGTCTTGGCTGGAGACGAGACCCACCAGCCCTCTTGCCTCTCTTCTCTGAGCCCTGGTCCATATGCCGCTTTGACAATGTGTCGCAGAGCATTGAGCTCTGGGCGGCTTGTTGTCCAATGTCCTTTAGGTGTGTTAATCCAAGGCCCTGACTGTCGTCACACGGGTCTGCAGAATGGTGGTGGACTAAGCTCTCTGCTCTGTAAAATTCAGTCTGACTGGCTTGGCGCCTGTGGCTCAAGCGGCTAAGGCGCCAGCCACATAAACCTAAGCTAGCGGGTTCGAATCCAGCCCGGGCCCACCAAACAACAATGATGGCTGCAACCGAAAAATAGCTGGGCATTCTGGCGGGTGCCTGTGGTCCCAGCTACTTGGGAGGCTGAGGCAGGAGACTCGCTTGAGCCCAGGAGTTGGAGGTTGCTGTGAGCTGTGATGCCATGGCACTTCACCCAGGGCGATAGCTTGAGGCTCTGTCTCCAGAAAAAACAAAAACAAAACAAACAAAAAAAAATTCAGTCTGACCTTTGTGAGTCCACAAACATCCATGCGGGGCTGATGTCACAGCTGGGAAAACAAAACTGAAGCTGTGTGGAGAACCTAAAGGGCGTGTCATGGCAGAGAACTTCCCTATTCTGTGACACCAATGTCAGTGCTATGTCAAGTCCAGTGTTTAGAAAGGGGAAGGAAACAGCACCACTGACTCACCGGGTTCCAGGGCACTCTGACCATATATAAGGCTCCAGGGTTGTAAAACAATGTGGAGAGACCACAGTACCCGACACTGTGACCATCCCAGAAGCAGGAGGACCATACCAGTGATTGTGAGGGGACTAGGACATGAAAGTCATCCCAGCAGCGGGGCCCAGGTACTGCAGGCCCTCACAACTCCTCTGCCCCTGAACCTCCTCTTTCCCCAAGGACACTCCCCACCTTGGCTGCACCTCAAACCCCTGGGGACCCTTCTCTCCTCTTAATCCTCTCTTTGGGCCTGGCCCACCATTTTCAGGTCCCAGCTGTGGTTCCAGCCCAGATCTCTTGGCCAATGGCCCCCTGTTCTGCATCTCATCCCGTCTCCTGCAGCAGGTGTGGAGGGAGCCAGCACCTTTCTGGAAACGAGGGGTCGCACCCCAGTGAGTGAAGATGGTTTCATGGGGGAGTCACCCCACCTTTCTTTCTTTCTTTTTTTTTGAGTCAGAATCTTAAGCTGTCATCCTGGGTAGAGTGCCGTGGCATCATAGCTCACAGCAACCTCTAACTCTTGGGCCCCAGCGATCCTCTTGCCTCAGTTATTCAATTTTTAGTAGGGGTCTTGCTTTTGCTCAAGCTAATCTCAAACTCATGAGCTCAAGCTATCTACCTGCCTTAGCCTCCCAGAGTGCTAGTATTACAGGCATGAGCCACTGCACCCAGCCTGCCCACCTGTCTTTCCATGAACATCTACCATTTGCTGCCAACAAGCCAGGTCTCCCAACCTGGGCTGAGCCCTTTCCATACCCAATCCCATCCCATATCACCAAACACCAGCAGCAGGGATGGCTCTCAGCACCATTTTGCTATGTGGAGTCTTCTGTCCTTGTTCTGAGAACACACAGGTGGGCAGTGGAGAGCCCAGATTCACTCTGAGTCTAAGTCACCAGAGCTGTCAGTGAGATTTCCCCGAAGACACACCAGGCAAAGCTCCATTAGGGGTCATGGATGGGGTGGGACAGAGTGCCAGGCGGAGCTGGCATTTCCTGCTGAGGACTCCTGAACTGGCTGCCCAGCCTTAGAGACATGTTGAGGAGACATTGAGGCAGAGGGGGCCCAGGACCTGAGCAGGACTGGGCTCCCCATGGGAGAGGGTAGATGAAGGGCTGAGGGCTTGAGAAGGCCCAGAGAGAGGGACAGAGCCATGAGTCACCTGGGAGTTGGAGAAGAAGCTTCAGAAAGGGGGAGGTATCCTGGTCACATCCTGGAAGCTCCTGAAGCAGCGAGATCTGTGGTCACTGATGTCATAAGGTTGGACAGCAGGGCTTCATGTGGGGGTTGTCAGCGAAGAAATACTGCATGCCCAGGAAAGCTGGAATTTCAACACAAGTTTTAGCAAATCATTTGGAACTATACTAAAACACTGCTGGCAGCCTGCATTTTCATTTGTACTCCTGGCTGACCTATTTAGTTGGAGCAGCAGGTCGGGGGAAGGTGATGGGGGGAAGGTGATAGGGACGCAGGACGTGAGGAAAGGCAGACAGTGAGGCTGGGCTGGGGACACTTCATCACACAGGGAGGCCCTGAGGTCCACAGTGTCCCTCTCGATGGGCATCATCCCCACTGGCCAGGAGAGCCGGGCTCCCACTGCAGCAGCACCTGCCCCATTGGTGGAGGTTGCTCCAGGGCACATCCAGCTGCACAGCTGGGCCAAGCTGACTGGTAGCTGGGGAGCGTCCTCTGCAAAGAGCTTCAGGGGCTGGAGCTGGAGGTGAGGGAGCAGCATGGGAGGTGGTGAGGACAAGAACCGGGGCTGAAGGCCCGGTCAGCATCTGCTACACTGAGGAGGAAGGGAAGGGACAGCCAAGTGTCCAGGGCACTGACCAGGTCTCCAGCTCCTGGGCTCTCAATACCAGTGAGACAATAGCCAGGGTCAGGCTGGTGCCACCAGGAGCTCAGTCTTTCGGGGGACTGTCCTCAGTGCTCCACAGACTGTCACATCTACTCATACAACATTGGCAAGAGGATTGGATCAAGGCAAGAGGTCGCCTGAAATATAAGGACTCTAAAACTGACACAAATCACAAAGGACACAAATACCTCTGAATACAAACGCAAAAAAGGCAGCGCCTGTGGCTCAGTGGGTAGGGTGCCAGCCCTGTATACTGAGGGTGGCAGGTTCAAACCCAGGCCTAGCCAAATTGCAACAAACAATAGCCGGGCCTAGTGGCAGGTGCCTATAGTCCCAGCTACTTGGGAGGCTGAGGCAAGAGAATCGCCTAAGCCCAGGAGTTGAAGGTTACTGTGAGCTGTGATGCCATGACACTCTACCAAGGGTGATAAAGTGAGACTCTATCTCTACAAAAAAAAAAAATAAATAAAGGCAGAGGCGCCACATCCAGAGTAAAGGACTTAGGGAAGGAGGGATCGTTTTCGAAGTGAAGGTGAGGCCATGGTTGAAGGAACAACATGGGAAAATTCTCAGGGATGATGAAAACGGGAACCTTCAACATTAAAAGGCCAGGGCGAGGCAAACAGAAGACCAGAACGTCGGACTGAATCCCTGACCTCGCGGGTGACTGACCGGGGTGTCCTCCAGAGGAGCAGCTTCCTGTGGTCCCCTCATCAGTGCACGTGGATGTGCGGCTTTGTGCCAGTTCAGCACAGCGACGATTCTCAAAGATCACAGAGGAACACGGAACCTCTGAGCACGAGGGTGAGGTGGCATTTCTCGGCAGCTGCCAGGATGCTGGAAGACAGCAGAGCCCCGCACCCCCTTCTCAGGGAGCCCTGTGGGGCGACAAGTCCACAGCAGGCTCTGGAAGGGCAGGCGCAGCAGGGAACGCAACTGGGCACGGGGCCCTTAGCTCAGGAGCGTCCCCACACTCTTGCTGAGGACACAGTCCGGCAGACAGGGAAGACTCTTATAGGGAAGGTACCAGGTAACCAGCAAATCAGGGCCGTACCCTGGGATGATTAAGGGACAGCTCTGGGTGACAGCTGTCAGCTGGCCTGGTCAGCCTCCCTGCAGAGGAGATTGTGGGGAGAAAAGGAGTATTCAGGGGTCACAGAAGGTGACTGACACTGGGAAAACTGAGACAAGAAGAAAGTTCAGATGGGAGAAAACAAGAAAAGACAGACTGGAGACACATCACTGTGACCAGGACCTTGCCACAGGTGTAAGGGGACAGTCAGAACTGTCATCCAGGTGTCTGCCCAGGACAAGGGAGGGCTGGGATCAGGCTCAGCCATCTGACCCCTGCCTTGAAGGGAGTAAGGAGAGAGGAGAAAACTTCTAGAGAGCTCTTTCCTCAGGGCTAAAGCCTGGAAGGATGGTCCTTGGCTTCTCCTCCCAGGGTCTCTGGAGCAACAGGCCTCTTGTTCTTTGCACAGCTTTGCTGTCCGGCTCTTCCTGCAACCCCATGGGCACCTGTTTCCACACAGTCCAGTGTCTGTCTGGTCAGCTGCGCTGTTTCTTTGCTTCCGCCCAAAGATCTCTGCAGAGAAGCATGAGACACAGGCACAGGGAAGGGTCTGTGCTGCTCCAAGTGGGATGCAGGTGAACCTGGGGCCGCGTGCTGCCTGCTCGCAGGACCGCAAAAGGGCACTAGGAAGAGTTCTCTTCCAGATGCAAAAGTGTCATCCCACAATTGCCCTTGGCCCTCCAGGAAAGGAAGGGTCATCTCTACTTGACTGTAGTAAGGAAAGGAGCTTTGCAGACCTTCGGGTTTAAACTGTAGGAAGCAACGGGTATTTAGGCAACAGAGCCTTGTTTTTCATCCGTGTGACGATGGAAAGCTAAAGGTTCAGGTGGGAGATCTGAGAGGTAGAAAGGGAAGGAAAAGCAGAGGAAGGTTGAGTCCTTTACAAGGATGGGAGCCAGGTGAGACTGAGGGTGGTGGAGAGAACGGGAAGGAGCTGAAGCTGGAGAGGGCAGAGTTGAGGGTCCGAGAACAGCGACCTCACTTTGGGAGCACAGAAAGAGCAAACAAAGCATGATGGAGTGGTGTCCAGCCTCCCATATTTTAAGTGCTGTGGGGAATCCTGGGATTATATGAAATAGAAGCACCCTGGAATTCTCTTTTCTCTCCTGTCCCTCATGCACCCACTCAGGAGTGTCCTGGCTCCAAGGCAGCTGTGGCCCGAGTCAACCCTGCAGACAGGAGGAAAAGCCTCAGTGGCTCCACCTTGAGCCGGGGCTGTGGGGCTGGGGGAACCTGGACAGGATGGATGGGCAGAAGGTGCATGTGGTGTCCACAGGGGTCCAGGGGACCAGACACACCTGCCCTGGGAAGAGGGATGGCCTCAGCAGAGACCCTGAGCTCACTGCCCTGATCCTGGGGAGACCCTGACAGAGACAAGCACCCCTCAGAGGGGTCACAGAGGGTGGCTGAGTGGCCGCAGCATGAGAGTGAAAGTGTCTCCCCTGATAGGTGCCTCAGGATGGGGGGTACAAGGCAGGGATGTGGGGTGCACAAGACACAAGTATGGGGTAGGAGTGGAGAGAGTACATGGCGACCCCAGAGGAGTCTTCTGTTTCTGAGTTTTATCCACTCTTGTCCAGAGACACCTGATGGACCCAGACACATTCACTTCCAACTTCACAAACAACCCTGCTATTGTTGGGAGACGCCAGACCTACCTGTGTCACGAGGTGCAGCTCCTAGATGGTGACTCCTGGGTCCCTCTGGACCAGTACAGAGGCTTCCTGCAGAGCCAGGTGACCAGCCCAGCTACCAAAATCCAGTCAGGACCTCTCTAGTCCCAGCCTTCATGGGCAGAAGGTGCATGTGCTGTCCACAGAGTTTCTGTCACCTGTAGTCCCCTTGGCTGCTATTTCTCTCCTCTGGGATGAGGTGGGACACTTCGGCTTCACCAGTTGCTCCATGGTTGGCAATTCTGAGCCGTGTGTCATCATCTGACCACATGTTCCAGGCCCTGGCACCACAAGCTCAGTGTCATCCCCCTGTCCAGTACTCAGCCACTCTCTCCTACTATGCTCTTAGGGGCTCAGGGGAGAGGGAAAGGGTCTGCTGACACCCCTGTTGCTCTGAGGACACTGCCCAGGACCCCTCATCGCAGCAGCACCCACAGGAACGTCTGTAGAGGATCAGGCCGACCTCTTCACAGACCAAGATTCCTGGTGCCTGCTCCTGGCCTAATCCTGGGGAAGAGAGACTGAGGTGGGACAAGGGGCAGGAGAGGCCATCCTGAGAGTCTGTCCTGACCAGGATGGAGCCCACAGGAAGGTCCCTGTCAGGGTGCCAGGGAGGCCAAGCATCAGGGGAGGAGCAAAGAGTGGCCAAGTCAGGTCACACCCATCGTCCTCTCTGCTCTGGTGTTCTCAGCATGACTAGTTCCCAGCCTGTTGTTGAGTGTCCTCAACAACATTGACAATCAACTCATGACCCAAGGACTCTGGGGTGTGTCCCACCTGAGCCTGTTGTCCATCTCATTTGTGCACAGGGAGCCCTTTGGGTCTGTTTCTTTATATCTCTTGGATTCAGCACAGGGTGAATCACAGAGTAGAAGCTTCTAGAACAATTGCTGTAGATATGGAGATGGAGTGAGGGGTAGATAGATAAGGGGCCACTACCCCATGAAAGAGGCTCACCCAGCTCATGGGCATCAGGCCTGTGATCTTGGGCTCAGCTGAGCTCCCCTCCCTCACCAGCTCTGCAGCCCCTCCATGCACAGGTGGGCCTGGGAAAGATTTCCTAAGGCTCTGACCTTGGGTGCAAAGTTTGAGGGTGCTCTAGAAACTCAGGTATCAGAGAAATCACATCCTCATGTAAGACTGAAATATTGAATGCATTACTTAATATCAAATTTAGTTCCAAAACTTCATGATGGGCAAAATATCAGCATTCTAAATAAAGATAGTGACAGGGCGCTGCAGAATGTACTAGAGCTGGGATAAAACACACGGTCTGTGTTTACACGGCTGATACTCGCTTATCCTGGAATTTTTTATTAACATGCTATTTTCAATACTGCTTGAAAATTCATTCACCTCCATAACCGAAGTATGGGCTCCCTTCTCATCTTATGCTGGAGACCCCTGCCCACCAGCCTCAGCCTCGTCCTGATTCGCCTCCCTGTTCACAAGTGACTCACACTTTGCTCCCTTACACACTCAGGCAGGCTGCCCACCCCTCCACGCAGAGTTTTGCTTCCTGGATCGTGTTGGTTCTTGGCAACTGAATCCCAACTGGCACTACAGGGTCACCTGCTTCATCTCCTGGAGCCCCTGTTTCAGCTGTGCCCAGAAAGTGGCCATGTTCCTGAGGAGGAACAGCCACGTGAAGCTGCGGATCCTGGCTGCCCGCATCTATGACTACCACCCTGGATATGAGGAGGGGCTGAAGGCCCTGCAGGGCACTGGGGCTCAAGTAGCCATCATGACCCACGCAGGTGCACATGGAGCCTTGGGAGGTGGCAGGGAGAGGCCACTTTCTGGGAAGGTGGGAGAAAGCAGGGAAGGGTCAGCGTCCCTGTGGAAGGCCCAGGTCTGCTGTCTGCAGAGGTGCTGCCTGCACTCTGGGGCCCAGGAGGGACCTATTAGAAGAGGATCCAGGACAGGAGGGGGGTCCCAGGGGACAGGGAGAAAGGCTGGAAGTGAAGCAGGACTTGGGGGCCTCCAGAAAGAATGAGGACTGGGCTGGCTCAGATGCCAATGGGAAGAGGGAGTTTGAGGAAGCAGACAAGTCCCCAAGGCAGGGATGACAAGGAGGCCACTGAAGGACCACATGCAGTCTGTCCCTGAGGGTCATACATGCTTGCTGGGTCCCCTCCCCACAGCAGGGGCTTGACTCCTCTCCTTTATCCCTTCTCAGAGTTTGAGCACTGCTGGGACACCTTTGTGGACCATCGGGGAAGGCCCTTCCAGCCCTGGGAGGGGCTGGATAAGAACAGCCAAGCCCTGAGCAGGAGGCTGCAGGACATTTTCTACTTGAGAACCTCCTCCCCCTGGCTGCCATCATACCTGCCTCCTCTGTCCCCCTTTTCTCCCTGGGCTTCTCGCTCCCCTCTGCTGAGATGCTCTCCATGGTTACCTGCTCCCCCCAGGACATCTACCTTCCTCCTTCCCTTCCCTTTTCACAACCTCGCCCTGCTCTCTTACCTGCTGGGCCCTTCCTTCCTGTCCCTGTCCTTCTCCCAGTCCCCAGACCTCCTTTCCTGTCATCTTTCCCACTCTCTCACTCCCTGCTCCATTCAATTTCTCCCGCCCTCTAGGCTCAGGGAAACTGAGCCTCAGTGTCTCCAAGGAAGACAGGAGGCCTGTGCTGAGCAGCAGAATGAAACACCTTCTTCCAAGAAAGGCACAGTGCCTGTTCCCCTGTCCAGGTGACACACACGGACCAGCAAAGCCAGTGAACTCACCAGGTGTAGATTTAAAAATAATTACAATGAATTGAGAGTGAATTACTATTCTTTTGTTTTGTTTTTAAGGACAGAATTTCTCTGTGTCAGCCAGGCTAGAGTGCTGTGATTATGCTCGTAGCAACCTCAAACTCCTGGGCTCCAGAGATCCTCCTGCTGTAGCCTCCCAAGTAGCTGGGACTATAGGCAGAGTCACTGTACTTGCTACTGTTTGTTGGGTTTTGTTTTGTTTTGTTGAGACAGAGTCTCACTGTGTCGCTCTGGGTAGAGTGTTGTGGCATCACGGCTCACAGCAACCTGAAACTCTTGGGCTTAAGCTAAAAACGCCTGGCTATTTTTGTTGTTGTTGTTGTCGTCATTTTTTAGCAGGCCTGGGCTGGATTTAAGCCTGCCAGCCACGTGTATGTGGCTGGCTCCATTAACAACTGTGCTACAGGCACCAAGCCTGAAAGTATATCTTATGTTTGAAATTTATACTAGTAAGATTATATTTAATGTTATCAGAATATTTTTCAACTGATTTTATTGATATTACTGTTTTAATTGGTTTCAAATCTAGTCCAATAATATGAAATGTTGAGAAACTTACATAATTATGTTTTGCTCTGTAAATGTATCATAAATTACAAGTATTTAAATAAATGCATTTATTTATTTATTCATATATTCATTTATTCATTTTGTGAGACAAAGTCTCACTCTGGGCCCTGGATAAAATGCTGTGGTATCATAGCTCACAGCAATCTCAAACTCTTGGGATCACGTGATCCCCTTGCCTCAGTCTCCCGAGTAGCTGGGACTACAGGTGCCTGCCACAACGCCTGGCTAGTTTTTCTATTTTCTCAGTAGAGACAGGGTCTCACTTTTGCTCAGGTTGGGTCTCAAACTCCTGAGCTCAGGTGATCCACCGTGGGTCCACTAAAAGAAAAAGTAAGTTCGAGGCCTCCGACACACTAATTCCAGAAAGCAGCCTGAGAGAGCTGGGTAAAGGAAGACATCTAAGGAGATAGAGTTCACAGCCTGGAGGGTGGAGTTGGGGAGAAGGATGGATCAGATACCCACTCCTGGGGTGGAGAACCAGGAGATGCTTATCAAGGCTTCTCCTGGGTGACATGTGTCTAGCTGGTCCAGAATGATCACAGACAAGTAACTATGACATGCTCCTGCGTGGTGCCCTCCCTTTTTAGGCAGCATTTTTGTGGCAGTCATCCTACCCCTGCTGCTAACCGTATGTGGGATACGGGGATGAAAGTCACAGGCTGTTGAGCACACGAGTCCCTGGACTGAGGCACCTCACCCCAAACTCAACATGCCCTCTGTACACCTGGGCTTGATTCAGACAAGATGTGGGATATGTAATCTGAACATGATTCCGCAATGGGATGAGACTTGTCCTGGATGTGCCCAGGTGGTGACCAGATTCCTGACGGAGCACAGTAGTATCAGCCTCTGCAGCCTGGCTCCACTGCTCAGGAGCCTCTGTCTGGGGCTCAGGCCCTCAGGGCAGCTTTACGGTGGTGGTAGGGTCCCTGGCAAACCCCAGGGGGGCTCTTTGGGCTGGAACGGTGGGAGGAGGGTCCTGGGTTAGGACTGCAGGGGACGCTGAAGACAAGATTCAGAATTCATGCGGAAAGGACACTGGGACAAGAGCCAGCCCTGAGGAGGGGCTCCTGCCTGGAGTCAGTGGGGGGGGGGGGGGACGCTCAGCCTCTTTGATCCAGAGGTTGAGCAATGCTGGGAGGACTGTGGGCACCACCCAGGAAAACCCTTGGAGCCCTGGCCCTGGGCTTGAAGGCTGCCTGAGGAGAGACACCTTTGTGGCTCTTCCCACCAGGGGAGACGTTCCTTTCTGCAGCTTCTCTCTTTTCTTCCCCCTCCCTTGAGCTCAGCTTTGTCCCCAGTCCCCCACCCCTTTCCCTCTTTCCTCTCTGCTCTTAGTTCTCCTTTGCTTCATCTCCCCTGAGCACAGAGCATTAAAAATCATCTTGCAGGCTCAGCGCCTGTGGCTCAAGCGGCTAAGGCGCCAGCCACATACACCCAAGGTGGCAGGTTCGAATCCCCAGCCCCGGCCCGCCAAACAACAATGATGGCTGCAACCAAAAA